TAATAATTTAAGTGTGAATAGAAATATACAATGTATGTTATTCACTGCAAATTAATAAAAATTAGAGTAAGCTTACTTGCATTAAAAAAAAAAAAAAATTAAAATTAAAAAAAAATTAAATATTTTTTATTATGTTTAAATAAATTTAATTTTAATATAAAATTTAAAAAAATTCATGTAAAATTTTAATTAAATTATAAAAAAAATTAATTTATTATAAAATATATTTTTATTTAACAAATTTATCTATTGAGATAATTTCAATAATTTTTTATTGATAACTTTTTTTAATAAATTTAAAATTATTTGATAATATATTTAAAACAGTTTATTAAGTAAACTTATTCTTTGTTTTCAAATATATATATGTACATTTTATAATATTTTATTTATTGATTATCAAATTATAAGTAAAATTAGAAATAAAATTTATTCCAGTTTTTTTTGAACTAGATTATAAATAACAAATATTATATTTTTATTTTATTTAATATAATATTTAAAAATAGATAGTTGTTAAATATTATTTTAAAATAAGTTATATAATTCAATAAAATCAAGCTATAATAAAAATTTTGAATAATAATAATAATAATATTAATTAATTCTTAGAAAATACATATTTATAATTAATAATATAACTAATAATTAATTGTTTTTAGTTTTTTCTTTTTTTACAAATATATTTATATAATAATATAAAATTAAAGGATTGATATCAAGTTTTGATATGAATACTTTTGAATATTATACAGTATCTTAATAAAAAAATAATATATAAAATATTTGGATAAAATTTTTTTCTGATAATTAATGTAATTTTTAATGATAGAATAATGTATTTTGCAATTGTGATACTTTTTGATATCTCTTTAAATATTTCAAACATATTATTTTTTTTATTAAAGATAATTTAATTTATCTGTTTCAAAATATTTTAATTATTAATTGCGGTACATTATATATTACAATTTAAAAAAATTTAACAACCAAAATAAATGCTACATTCAAGTCATCTCAACCGGTAAAGTACATGACATACCAGCATGACTCTTTGGATTTTTGGAGCTTGTGCTACTAATAGTAGCAGAATCAGTAGAGAAAAATTGTAAGTTCCGTTGAACAATAATTAAATCGATCGAAAAATTTTGGGATGGATTTTAATATACCGATCGCTGCACACTTTGTCGTTTGAAAAATAGTAATGAACTTCTGCTTTTCGAAGATTGTATAAGTTATTATATATAATTCAGCCCTTTTTAATTTTATGGAAAAAAATACATTAAAGCCACATAATGAATACATTATCGATACCACCACTTTTCTAATCCTAATCATGACGACATTCCTAATCGAATATATATATATATGTAGAATGATACAGATTGAATATAAAGTACATTTGCGAATAAATAATTACACTATTAATAGTAATACTTAAGGGAGTTGTTTCAAGTGGAAAGGAAAAATCATACACTATATTAACACAGTCATTATTCTTCATCAACTTCTTCATCGTCAGGATAGGCTGGTGGAGAAGGAGTCATAGTGGCCATGGCATAAGTTGGTGGTTCATCAATGGAATGATATGAATGTGTTGATGCTATTTCTTGCAGTAGTTCTTGTGATTGGTTTTCTGATCGTTCTCGACGGCTTGCAGATTTTGTCGTGACAATCAAAGGAATTTCGAGATCATAACTTTTCGTTTTTTTCTTTATATTTCCGCTAGCTCCCGACGCGTCCCTCCTTAACACATTATTAGAGAATGAGAATCTCTTCAAGTTTGACGATAATAAAGAAATCGAATGTCTGCTGCTTGTTGTTGATGTGGAAAACTCACTACTGTTGCGTCGCATGGGTGGTAGTAAAGAACGAGCACGAGTTGTTCGGTTTCTGTTAGACCCCTCCGATGCATCGTCATGATGATGATGATGATGATGATTCGGTGGGAGTAAAGAAAGCGGTCGAGATCGATTTCTATTCTCATCAAATGTCGGTGGAAGCGGGAAACGATTAAGGTCGCTTGAAAGAGCGTCGAGATAATCGTCGTCAAATTCAGTATCGTCAAATGAACTGTCCGCCTCTGTGTGTGCATTCTCGATGACCACAACTGTGAATACTATTTTATGCTCGATGTAAATCAATTCCGAATCCACGTCGCAATTAACCCAAGGACACAAGCGAAAACTGATTTTTATGGATTCCGAAGTATTGATAAGAGGTCGATTCAACATAATTTTCTTTTTTCCCAGAGGAAATATGTTTTCATCAATACTTGCTACTAATGACATTAGATGTTCGCCGGTGGTTCGGTAATTGATCTCTTCTTTTAATCCATATTCAATGGATTCAACAACAATGTGAGGATCCGAAGTTTTCAATTTTATTTCGGCGGTGACAAGTCCACCCTCGCGATACGCCGCTACGGGCGTATTAATTTGATAACCGACTTTGTCATCAAATATATCCCCGATAGAATTTAATTGTTGTAATGGTGATATGGAATTAGTTAAGCATCGATTAAGTATTACAATTTTTTTAACTGTAATGTCACTATGAAACATGGGTCTCGCGAGGATTGCGTAACAAGTATATTCAATCTTTCCACGTACTCTCTTGAATGAAGAGGGTAGATGACCTGGAAGGTCAAAATCGAAGCAATATTCGTGTATACCAGTGGAAATTTTTTTGCCGGAAGTTTCGGAACTATGAAATACACATTGTTTCCGGTAGATCGTTTGAGTTTCACTATCTATATAAAACGAATATTTGAAAAGATGAGATCAAATAAAGAAAAGAATTGTAAATTCAGATAACAATCAAAAGAATTCTTACAATCAGGTCGTGTTGCAGACATTGCGGGACCACAAGCTACGGATATCTTTCCCAGAAACATGAAAACCAAATATCGCACCGACAACGCTCTTGAATTCTTTAACACGACCTTTCCTTTTAGCCTACATCCGGGGGAGTCCTCAGGCAGGCCATACATGATACCATCAAAGTCATCATCAAGAATTACTTCCAGGGAGATACAATTTCTGCGAGAGAACGCAGTCGTGGATGCTCGATCTAACAACTTCATTTTTTTACGTTAAAATATGTGTAAAAGTCAGGACACCGTATATCACTTCAGAGAGGCGGATTGGTAAAAATTTTTAAACTTTATGGAGGAAAACTCGCATGATGTTATATATAGAGTCAATACTTTGTGTTGTCTTTGAACCATTCAAAATTTAAAATAAATCTTTTTTTATGGATTAGACATAATAAATTCTTTTAAATTAACACAAAATAATCGTGCGATTATCATACAGGAGTCTGACTTATATAATCTTTTAATCGAAAACTATTTTTCCTCTATTGGTTAATGGTTTTCTTGTTCTAGTACAGTAATTCATTTTGCATTTCGACATGATTGACAAAAATTTCGTCACCCAATCGACCGAAAATCCCAAAAAATCCGAATGAGATTGATACCCGAAATAAGATTTCACAGGACACCTAATGTTTCTTCTCTAACATCATATGTATTCTTAATTGCAAATTATTCAAAGACACGAAATCTACGACTAAAGTTTGGTTGCGTGAGTTGAAGGTGATCGTGATTTCATAACAATAAAAATACCGTGGATAGATGAAAAAAGCTAGATTTCAAATTATAATTGTAAGATGACAATGGAATTTATACTGTATAAGAGAAATATTCGATGAAGAGAATTGTCTATAATATATCTGTAATGCACACGATACCATAGGCTCATTTAAAATATTGGATCGACAAATGCAAAATTATTAAATAAATACTGTATATGCTGTGCTATATACATAGATACACGTATACTTTACATAAAAAATTAAAAAAATTAAATTAAGAAATTTATTACTAAATCAAAATATGAAAATTCCAGAAATAAAAATAAATTTAATTTATGTCGTTATGGGAAATGAGAGAAACGAGGGAGAGCATGGACGCTGTAAAGCGTTACGTAATTGTTGAACATTTCGAGGAACAATGGGGGCAGAAAATTGGATATGACGCATTGAGAGTAAAGAGATAAACGTCTCTAAGGTGTAAATTGAAAAAATTTTGTACTCTCCATAAAATGACAAAAATTCAGGCTGGAAGGAAAGGAGTACCGGAAGTATTAAGCGTTGAATGACTAATAAAAAGAATCAAGGTTTAGGCTGGAAGAAAAGGGATACTGGCAGTATTAAGGATTCTAGGAGATAGTCCAAGAAAAGAATATTAGCAACCGTAGGATCGGCCAAGTTGTAGACATGCCACGGAGTTAAAGCCCTGTCTTAATTTACCCAAGTTTTCGGTTTATCGTCGCGCGAAGATTAGTTGCAGATTAGTGACGACAACAATATACTGTATAATCGATAAATTTATTATATTAATAACGATCATATGATAATACTTTTTAATATTATAAAACTACTGTGTAAAATTTTTAATAAAATAAATTTTCTCATTTTAATAATATTTTTTATAATATAAAAAATAATGTTAAATAATGAAAACCAATTTTTTTGCAAAAAAAAATCTTATCTATTTTATTGTTATTTAATGTTTTCTTATACATGATAATATTATATATCATTATCTACAAATTTGATTATTATTCAATCTATTTTTAACATATTCAAATATACTGTATAATATAAAAAACAATTAACAATAGTAACTTAAAATAGTTATTTCATTAATTCAATTAATAAAATTGTTTTTATTAATAAGATTGTAATTTCTTTAATTTTTAAAATTTTTATATGTAATCAATACTTATATAAATAATTGTATACTAAACAACAACAATAAAAATCAACAATAATAATAAAACTCAAATTATAAAATATTTAAAAAAAATTATTTTTCAAAATATTATATGAAATTCTTTTTTTTTTTTTTTTTTTTTTTGTAGGTAAACATTATTTCTTTATTTGATTTGTATATAGCATAGTATATATCATGAAAGAAACAACATCTCTCATATGTTAGTACAATGAGTTAAATGCTAGCTTGTCTACAGTAACCATACGACTAATATTGAAAAGAAAGTTTAAAACAATATATCTTGCCAGATGGTACCGAGCAGCTATAAATATCTACTCAACATTAGGGGAAATAGAATTAATATTAGCAGATAGAGTTATTAAGCTATAAATACATTTGGAGTAATTATATTTAGATTGGATAAATGAATTAGCAACAGTAGAAGATAAGTCAATAATAATGTTTTCTTGTGAGTTATTGGAGTTGTCTTTGGTTTGCGAGGTTTTTTTGATTTCTGGATTGGTGGAGTTGATTGAATTATGTGACCTAGCATGGTTTCACTTGATTCCAGTAAGAGGTAAAGTGTTGGCTATGGAGCAACGTGGTTTCCAAATTAGGTCATATAACAGGATTAAAGATTCTGTTGCTGCCTTAATCCAGTTGGTAAAGGTTGAGGTGAAAAAGATTTTGTTTATAATTCCATATGACAATTCGACGACTTGCCATATATAAGAGATTGGTTTGTGATTATTGTCTGGATGAAGAGTTTGATTAATAGTTTTTGTGATTTGTTCCATTGCTTGAAATGCTTCTGGATATTTAAAAACACAGTGTGGAGCTCGCATCATAAACAGAAAGTATCTGGGTATTGGTTAGGATATAGTTAGTGGAGTATAAGATAAGTTGAAAGAGTTCCCGAGAACAGTTTAACTCCAAAGGCTACTAGGGTGTTGTACTTGTTATTATGGAACTTTCTGATATTTTTGTTAGATTAGTTGATGACTTTTAGACTGTGCGGAATATGTGTTCGTCTGAACATTTGGATGACTAAGGAACTTTTATATACTATATAGTCTCTAGTAATGCTGAAAATTTTTTTGCACCATCTGACACTACTACCTAGGCAAATATTGTTAATTAGAGAATTTTCAGAAAAGTGTAATGAGAGATTGTTTTATTGAATAGTTCTGGTTGATATTGGTCTGAATTTAGATTTGGTATATATAATCTCTATATATTTTTGTTGTATACTTTGATTTATTCTCTGGGATAGCGAGGAAAAGTTGATTTTGACCATTCTTTTTGAGTATTCAGGTACTGATTGAAAAATTTTTTTGTTGCTTCTGATTTCAATAGTGGTATGAGCTGGAATTCCTTGAACGATGTCAAAGATTGCCAGTAGAATGTTACCTGATGATAGGCAGAAGTTGAGTAGTCTTATTTAGATTTCATTTATAAATAGATTACTTTTGTGCAATTGAATATAGTAATGTTGCTGCAGGCCGAGATCTTGTAATAATGATTGGGGAGAATAATTGGTAGAAATATTAACTTCTTGAAGGATATGTTCATTGTTAGAAGATGAGTTGACAACTTCATCGATTATATTGAGCAAGCGATATTTGAATCTGTTAAAGGAGTTAAAAGAAACCTATAGTGTGGAGGCTGATATGCTCGTAAATGGTATCCAACAGAAACCATAAGAGGATGTGCCAATCGGGCAGCCCGAACATCTAGTGAGATTATTGTCAGGGTCTATGGTAAAATGGTTGTCTCTGAGTAATGTTTTTTCATCTATCAAAATGTATCTTTTGCGAGTTTTGACAATTGTATTTATATTGTACAGAAACCAAAATGTTGTTTTAGGATTTGGAATTGGTATTATATGAAATTCTATAAATTCTTCAAATTTGTAACAGTATAAAAAAAAATGATATTAACTAAAATACATATATATAATTATAAACAAGTAAATAATATGAATATGTAATATAAATAATATAAATAAATTTTTTTTACAATTTTTTTTTTTTTTAGAATTAAAAAGCATTAAATACAAATTTTTATTGATATATATTGGATATCACTATTATATTAAATATTTTTTGTAATGCCATAACTATAACTAAATATTAAAAAAAAAAAAAAAAAAAACTCTTTCCCACTCCCCCTTCTACGCTTGAAAATTTCCTTTTTAGGAAATTTTTGAGTGGTTTATTTTTTCTTCGCTCTTCCCCTTCCCCTCTCCCTTACTTCCCCTTTCCCATATCCTTTTATTTCCCCCTTCCT